CGTACCATACAATTTGTCCAAGGACCGGAAAGCACCTTCAGTCCAAATGGTGAATCTTCCCATATGCCCACCTGGAGCGAGCTTGAGAATATTCAAGTACTTGACGTTCAGCAACGTCACGCCGGGTATATTGCGGAATGCACGCGTCACACCGTCGTCCTTCTTGTAGACGACAATCGGACCGCGTTTCATTACGTGCCGGCGGTTCCTCATCTTGCCTTTTCCAGCACGATACCGCTTGGACTGATAAACTTTCTGGATATCAGACCACGCCCGGAGTTTCTTCAGAACCTTAACTGCCTCCTTCGTCTTCTTCAGCTTCTCCACTTCTCCGGAAACAACGAGTGGAAGTTCCGGAACACGATCTACCCGATGCCCACGCGCCATCACTAGGGCAGGAACACCCGTAGCGGCGATGGCTGAGCACATGGCAAAACGCCTTTGTTGGATATTCACGCGGCGATGCCAACGCCTCCACACTTTTGTTGGGGCATACATGTGACCACCGCGACACATGTTGCCGAATGCGCCCTGACCTGACCGGTGCGTACCACCACCACGCACTCGCGGGATACGCGCAACCGCTCGACCAGTGCCCCACGACTCCGCCGATGTCTGGTGACCAGCCTTAGCGCTGACGGCGTAAGGCTGGCGTGAATTCTTCAATAGACTATCGTGAACAAAGTTCACCACATCATTGCGCATTGGCGCCTTGAACACGGCCGGCATTTTGATTGAGGATTTTGTGCAAGCGCCGGACAAGTCGTAAACATTAACCAGTGGCCTACAGACAGCCTAAAATAACTCATAAAGCAAACAATAACGACCCACCATCTCAATTTGTAATGCTAAAAAACTTCCAGTCAAACGACAGCTACGGTTTGCCGCGCACGCCAAACACCAGTGCAATCGCAAAAAGTGCAGCTACTTCCACAACGCCCTTCCGGCAACGGTAAATTGTAAAGCATTTAAACAACACCAGGTATTTCACGTCTCCCCATTCTTACCTAAAATTGCATTTATATCAAATGCTCATGACTTTTTTGAGTTGTTTGTACCTGAAACGTTAAGTTGCTTACTAAAAAGATTGTTAAGAAAGAGGTGAATTGTGTTACGTGTCTCTTTTCTTAAAGTGGACCACATTGCATCTTATTGCGTGCACAAATAGATTACTATACTTTAATATGTTAATTATACATCTTCCAAATCACAACAATTTTTCGATGATTTTTGTTGACATGTGTCCAAAATTAAATAACAAGTTTAATTTCGACATTTGTTAGCAAATATGTTTCACGGCTTTATAATGATAAAGCATGTGCCATATTTGAACTGTAATTAAGAAAACTGTGAAAAATGTTCGATGAATCAAGTAAAACTGACCAGCATATTGTTAAATGCATTGGATGTCTAGTAAAATACAGGATTGCGATTTTTTTCTCTAAATTTAGCTCCTACTAAATAAACCACACCGATCGTATTTGTTTTTTTAGCAGCAACAAACAGTTAACTAATGCATAGCGTTATATTTTAACGACTTGTTATTATCAATGAGTGAAACCTGTTTTGTTTTACTTTTTCAATCGTGTAGGACACAAAAGACCCTCATTTATAAGAAATTATTTTGTGTACGATGAGTCCACTTGGTTTTGAGGTGGATATCCATTCGAATCTATGCGAGGGCACAGGCTATAATGTAAGTTTTTTAAGGTTATATGGTTCGTAATTAAGTTTTGTTTTTCAAGTTTATTTGACTCACTCTTATTGAATGTATTTTATCCAGACAAATTCCCTATTTTCAACAAAAAAATTGGAATTTGTAATTCATATGCACTTGGAGAATGTACTCATATTTCTTATCTATTTCGATATTATGGATTATGCTACCTTCGTGTCTTTGAAACATCTGTGGTTCGAAAAAAACACGCCTAAGTTGCTTGGTCAAAATGTATGCCGCCATGCAGGCCTTCTGCATAGCAGACAATTGGCAACAGTAGGTATACTCAAGTATGCAATGGTAAAGTTCCAATTTTCATGCCTCTCACATATTTATTTAATCTAGAAATGAATTACTTCGAATTTGTCGAATGTGAGTTTTTTACTAGACGTCAGAATTTGTGTCTCTTTCCGGTAAAGTAAAAAAGAATGCAAATCCTGATCTATTAGCGTAGTTGGCCTTGTAGAAAGCATTTCTATCTTTCATCCTTGCATTTTTGATTCACATAAATTTTCCTCGTTTGGTTTAGTTTTAACAGAATTTCGTCGATTGAGATTACACACCCTCCAGTTTAAGCTCATTACAAATGTGCTTGTGGTTATATGAACTGAAAAACATAGGGCGACGATAGTAAGTAAGCAATGCATTCATTCTGCAAGATGTCGAATTGGTTTAATTTCTTTTGCTTATCTGCATTCTAAATGTATTTGTTTTCTACTTTTGCAGCATTGTTCCCACCGACGGTGCTCGATATGACTGTTAGAGACTATAGAATATAATCTTAGTGCACATTGTGCGTAGTACGTAAATTCAGGATAGTGGCAACCTCGTCGTCGTGTTACGTGGTCGTGCAATTGATTCGTTGTTGACGGAAGGGAATGAAGTCTGTGTTTCCAATGCCGCCCGTTAACTTGTGGCATGGAAATGTGTCAAAAGCACTGTATCGGTCCTTCGTGTGTAGACTCCGCAAATCAAGTAAGGCTAGTTGGTGTTGACTGGTTGTTATTTTCCCAGGTGCTTCATCCTCTGACTTTAGCTAGCTTACTGAGATGTTTTGGTAAGTAATTACATTAAGCTTGCGCGGCTGTGACGCGCACTGCACAACCGAATTAATAGACTGAATAAACGATTGACCATCTGTCATTCTCTTTTTTCGACCTCATCTTTGGGTGCTTGGTGTTGCATTGTGCCCCAACAAACAGTATGTGCACAACGATACCTCTGACACATGATGTAACATGACAAAACATTTAGGAAATGCAGTTCGTGTGTAGACATGCAAACGGCCGTAGATGCTTGCCTAGTCATGTGAACGTAATGACTTCTGCTTTGTCAGTTCCTGAAACAGAAGCTCCACTTACTGCGTACAATGCCGCCCACGTACGACTGTATGCGCGTGTGGTACTATTGGTAGTAGGAATATTTGTCGTGGTTGTTGTTGTTGCAGTCACTGGAGTTGTGGCTTTGGTGTGTGGACTGGAGGCGGATGCAAGTGTGGATGGGCAGTGGGTTGGAACTGGTGTCCGGTGGTCGAGATTTGAGGTGTTCAACTAGATAGAACGCATGAGTTGATATATGGGCGAGGATTAGCGTCTCTGTGATTGGGTAGAAGGAATGGCCTGGAAGTGGATGAGAAGGGGATCTGATAGTAGCATAAGGAGGGAAGGATGAGAAGAGGGGTATGAGAGCGGAGATGGCGGTAAGTAGATAGTATCACTGTGTGGTGCTTCGACATTCACGGTGATGTCCACTCGTAAGTGCTGGCACGCGGTGGCACACAAATCCTGGAGTTGTGTTTATGTGGCCACTGAACTATCATAGAAGACACCGAGGTTTGGTTAAATCGGTTTAATGGCATAAGAAATGAGGTTGTGCGATAATAGGTGCGTGGGTGTTGCTGCTACTCCCCCAACCACCACCGCTATCACAGAACACATTTGAATTCTCTATCGGCAAAATTCGTTAAGCTATAATATGGGACAAAGACTGCCTTCTGCTCAATTACACTGGCGGCCAATTATTCACTAAAAATGCTACAGTACCTTAGCGACAGCCAACTTTGAATGGTCATTGGTGGTAGCGACAAGGAGTTGCTTCGTAAAACTGACGAGTGCCACCATGAAACAGAGCTACGCTCAGAGCCGACGTGACCGCTGTTCACGTGTGTGAGTGTGATTCCGTGGTGAGGCGACTGCGCTCAGTTTGGCTACTTGCTACTGAAACAGCCAACTTTGATTGGTCAATTGTATCGGCTTTACAAGCTGCCACCGTGCCCTAATTTACACCGCGTCCTTCTACGTGCTATCACCTTAATCGGGTTTGCTGTGGCGCAGTGGTAATGTCCGGTGTGAGGTAAAAAAGGAATCTTGTTTGTTGTTAATTGTGCACGGTTATTTCTAACGCTTATTTTATTATTGGTGGATAAGCGTCTTGTTCACTGCGATCGTACTTTTGGTTACTAGCGTCAATCTTTTAGGGTACGAACGAGTGTTCCTCCCTGCTACGGGCTTTCTTAAAGTCCACTTCGGCGATGAGCAGCGCTTCGTTTCCCAGCGATTATTCATTATTTGGTTATAATTTAGAAGCTACTAGGAACTGTTAAGTAGAAATATATTTAAAGTGCGGATCGTGCCAATTCGCCGAGATTATATCATTGTGAACTGGATTAATTTGGCGTTCATTTCACAACGCGAATGGCCAAGCCTCGCTCTTATGCAAAAAGGCGCAATGTCTTTGTCCTCAAGGTCTTGTGTGACCCAAATTTTATTGGCGCCTTTGCGCCTTTTAATTTATCTGAATTTCGCTTAACTTACTTTTCATCAAGCGTGAGTCCACGAGTCATCTAGCTGTGAAAAGCAACAAAAGATGAGAAAATAAAGTTGAAATGTTTGTTGGAGCAAGTAACACAAATCAGCATATTGGTAATTACATAGGATGCTTGATAAAGCTGCAGTTTGCGCTTCATCCATTTGACCACTCCCAATCAAGCCTTTGTCACGGTGTAGATGAAGATTAGCGAAATGTGCCGAGGCTTCCAGATGACCGCGACTTCACGACCAACACGGCCAGACCCATGCAACTACGTCGAGCGATTACGGGAGACTATGAACAAGCTAAAACTTACACATCCGTGTCTACGGTCCACTATTTCGTTCAGCCCGCAAGAGTTGCCTACACGCACCCACGTTTTCATCAGACGCGACGCAGTTCGTCAACCACTTCAGCCCATCTACGACGGACCTTTCAGAGTGCTCAGACAAGAAGAAAAGGTTTTTATCGTCGACCACACTGGGAAAGAAGACGCCGTGTCTGTCGACCGACTCAAGCCAGCCTTCCTAGACATAGAGACCTCGCCAAACAATAAGCCTCGGATGCAACCAAATCCTGCCTCTCCCGATAACAAAAAGGCTGTAACCACGACACGCTCAGACAGACGCGTCCATTGGTTCGATCGATATTCAGCTTGAAAGGAAGACAACCGCGTGGCGTGCAGTACTTCTCGATCGCAATTTTTTTTAAGCTCCCTTTCAGGTCCTTCGACGGAGGGATCACAATCGCGCGAAACCTACGGCCTACCTTCCAAAAACCTC